ATACCACAAATATTGTAAACAGTTAATATACTCTACTTAAGGGGCATGCACTACACATGTCTTAAACTTTAATATCATTAATTTATGTCGAGTTAAAATTGCAAAATATAATATTTGATTTCCAAAAAACCCACAAGAGAAACACACAATGTACTTATACAGTATAACTGAATAAGCTATAATCTTATAAATTACCTTGTCAGTTGTCACCCTTGTAAGTGAAACTATCTTGTTTTGTATCATGTCAAAATTTCTTTATTTAGCTTGCATTTTATTTAAACTGTTTCAATCTCGTGCTTTCTTCATGCTACAAACATGTTTTATGAAATTTTTGATATCTATATCATATCCCAGTGCCATAAATTATCCAGAAACAGTATCGTCACGCATTCGTATATAAATAGTAGGAATTCTAATTTCTAAATTATTTTAAAATTAAAAACAAAATAATACAGTGTTATTAAAACAAATGGCGCACTCATAGACAAATTTTGGGGCAGGGGGTGCTACCACCCCAATATTAGCTATAACCCCCCCAAACAAAATGTCCACCCCTCCAAAAAAAAATTCAACCCCCCACACGCCTGGCAAAAAGTAGTCCAAAATTCGCCAGAGGTGTTGTAACTTTTTAAATTTTCATCCTGATTGTACGAAATTTTCCATAAACATAGAACATATCATTCTTACAAATTGTGTCGTTTTTGTTTTTGGATTTTTTATTTTTTGGCCGGAAAATGACGTCACAAACTTGGCGCCAAAAATTTAAAAATTAGAGCAATGACTAATATTATTTATTTATTTGGAAGACCATGCTCTAGCAATCTTGAAACTGAAGTCTGTTTCGAAGTACGACCATTCACTGCAAATATAGAGTGATTCAAATTTTGAAAAATCCGCCATTTTGTTCTATTTTTAGTAACAAAATGGCCGAACAGGTCTAACTTTGCAGCGAATGGTTGTATTTCGAAACAGACTTCAGTTTCAAGATTGCTACAGCATGGTCTTCCAAATAAATAAATAATATTAGTCATTGATAATTTTAAAATTTTTGGCGCCAAGTTTGTGAAATTTCGTACAATCAGGATGAAAATTTAAAAAGTTACAACACCTCTGGCGATTTTGGACTACTTTTTGCCAGGCCCAATATTTGGCATAATAAAAAATAATTAAATAGTCCACTCCAACGTGCAGAGTGTTGATGATACTAGGGTTGGGCGATATTAAAAAAATCATCTCACGATTAATATTGTTGAGGAAATTATCACGATATTCGATAATATCGCGATAAATGCAATAAAAACAATGACAAATAAAACAACAAATTAAAGTAATAAGAAGGCTTTTTCTTGTCTAATATTTACTGTTCATAAACTTGAACAGTCTCCGCAGGCACAAATGCCGTGGGCACACAGCGCAAACATAGCATACAATTTCATTGTTCAGCGGATTAATACATAAATATTAGCTTTAATATTGTATTAAATTCATATTTAATTCAGGAAATAGTTTTAATTCTTTTAAAAACTTTTTCTAGGAATTGAAAGAAGTTTTTAGGATTTTATAAAAGCTATATACACACATGCGAAGCAATATCACGATAGTCATCGGGCATGACGATAATTTCGATATATCGTCGCTCAAGTTTCTACCTTCGATACAATAATTGTGGTTGAAAATATCGCGATAAATCAAAATATCGAAATATCGCCCAACCCTAGATGATACAAAATAAACGTAGGAGTACACTCTAATAGAAGAAGACAGTGCAATACTCTGAAACTAATTGCTCCTCGCTTGCATTCACTGGTTTATTGGAGCAATTGTAAAGTTTTGAAACTCTATTATATCTCCCCTGAATAGAGTTTGCAGTGCCTTGTCATGCAAATAGCTTGCTTGCAAGGAACGTTTGGAATTTTTACGAACATTATTTTTAGTTTTTAATTCTTTTAGGAAATAGACTTGCCTAGATTAAAATCTCTACGCCCCAAATATTATTTACATCGGAGTTGCATCATAAATTGTACTCGGATTCAAACGACACAATGTCAATGACCTTATAAAAGTAAAAGCATATTGTGTATTGGCCTATTGGGTTTACACTTTTACAGGTTCATTTAACTTTAACTCTCTCAAGTCTCAACAGACAATCGGACATGCCAAATCCATTGATATGACAACTTCAAAAAACTTTTTTTCGAAGCTAGAAATCATGATTTTTTCCCAATTTCTCCAGGGATACTTTGTTTTCTGCTCTCTAGACTCCCCCTCGCGGCTCTTGTGCTCCACCCCTAGAATATAGACCTTACTGGGGTTTGGTGACACTTTGTGTTGCTTCAGTCACCTGGTCACGGCTCACCCCCCTAAAATTTCATGTCGAAGTACAACGATTGTATACAATGCAGTGCTCGATCTTACATGCAACAGTGCACAAATTACACGATGACTTTATGATATAAATCAACACTCGTACTCATTGACTTTCCTAGTCTCCTATTGTTGTTCTAATTAACAGCAATTAAACTTTGAGAAGCCATGTAGATTATAGATTAATTTGTAGCCCAGCCTCCATATAGTCCATATAAATTTGTAGCCCAGCCTCCATTTACACCAATAATGAAATTAACTCATTCTGGTAACTAGCTCAATTTTGTTTCTGGTAGTGTATGGGATCTATGGGTCTTTCAGATCCCAGAATTACCTAATTATTGTAAAGTCTGCATAAAGCAGAAAAAGGCTCTGTTTTTTCAATGACCGGTACCTATTGAGTGACCAAATATTGTCAGCCTAATCCACTTATTTGATGCTAATTCATGTTGCATTACTTTTGATTGCAAAGCACCTGGATTACATGATTTGCCCGTAAAATAGCAGCAATTGATAAACTTGAGTACATGGCCTGAATGTATCAAATAGAATGCATGTTGGCGATTTTAAGCGATTTTAGGCGATTTAAGATAAATTCGACAATTTTAACCCGCGATTTAATGCGATTTTAGGCGATTTAAGGCGATTTACCGCCCCAGAGTAGGCCTTTCATATACTTTTATGTTCGTAGTATAAACTTTGTAGTTTGTACTTCTGCTAACTGATCTGCTTCAAATTTTCTAGAATATATAAAATTCTTACCGGTGAATAAAAATATTCTTCTTGTACATCTCATACATCTACGAGCGGCGCAAAAAGGCAGAATCCTCGACGTTGTAAATCAACCAAGTTATAGGAGAAAAATATCAAGATTTTCAGTGCGATTTTTACCTCAAAAACTAGCGAAATCTGTGCTGAAACCAGGGGTACATCGAAGTACATCGTCGAAAGCTTAGGACAGCGGTTGGGACAGTGGTAGTTGCCATGAATCTAGGGACCAGTAGTCATGGCAATGGCGTAAGATCCTCCATGTTTTGGCTTCACTTGTTGATGCCGAGCAGGTCCTCCAGTAATATAGTATAGCTCAGTGGTTTTAACCCCCAGTTAGTGGTTAGTGACTTATATGCATGACGGCAGGAAAATTGTGAGAATAGTCGCATTCTATATATACTCTGCTGACACTTTCTTTGCATAAGATATAGTCTTAAGGGACAAAATAATGAAAGAAATGGCCCTCGTCGTATTTTTAAAATTTCAGAAAACAGTCGGTTGACTGGGAAGCTCACCTCTGTGGGATGACTTATTTCTGTTTTCATACGCTGCTTAAATTCCATCTAATATTTTGCCCAGGTGGGACTAAATTACGAAAACATGACGCCTTCGAAATATCGTTTGTTGTGATTGAACACACATACAGAACGTTGTATTATGGTATAACGGTGCTGTTTAGATTCATTACTGTTTATTTCTGTCGCTTATATTTTCCAACTACGCCGCTGAATACTATCATAGATCAAAATCGGCAAAAAATTTTCCATCCCGGTCAGGTGACATAACTTGTAAGGCCTTCATGTGGAAAATTTTATCCCACTTGACTGACGTCCCACCCTAGCCGGGCTGGCTCGTCTCTCATGAACACACAATGATTTTTATATCCATTAAGACTTCATTCTTGTGAGCCTTTTGGTTAGTTGGGCTCTTATGAACGCACCCATACGAGGTAATAATATCAACATATCGAATATAAGTTAATAAATTCTTAAATTTCAGCCACAACAGTCAACAGCAGTTGGTCAAGATATCTATGGTCTTAACAAAAGAAAAAGCAATTTGGTGGAATGTGTTGAAGCAGAAAGCACCGAATTTTTAACCAGTTGAAGTTGTCAACATTAAATATTTTTTGAAGGTATGCTTATTTATATTTAATAATGCATATTTTCATTGTTTTCAACAGGTTCTTATTTTTAATAAGCGACTACAACGGTCAGTAGCAAGTCATTATTGCGGTCAATCAGGTGGAACTGGAGGTCATTATTCTTAAAATAATAACCTCGTTTTCTAAAACAATGAAAATATTTTAAGAAGGCCTCGGAGCTCATGCATTATCCTATATATATTTCCATAACAGAAACATTTTGGTATTTTATTTGGCCACTGCGGTATTTTATGTGGCCACTGTTGTTCCATGGGTCAATTATAATTTATGATGCGGTTCCGTTATTATATGTGGCACATCATATCAGTGTTCTCCCCAACGGCCATACCCAAGGGCTATTGACATTTTCCGTAATAATTTTAGTCCAGTCAGTAATCCCCACTCAAGAGTTGCATGTGTGGAACTGTTAATTCATGCATGTCGAATTAATGCCCTTGGGTCGGATAAAGTTTTTAATCCTCGCTAAAACATTTTTGGGCGAGTGTTGATCCAAACATGTAGGATGTCATTTATAGGATTGTAGTCGTAGAATATATATGCAACTGTTTATCATTTCTAACCTTAATTAAGGCCTAAAAAGACAACTTTTTCGGTAACTTGCAACACAAGCCCGGTTATCAAAAACGTAGTCACATGCTAGTTTTTATAGTTTCACGTGATGTATTAGAGCAGTTGTCATAGTTTTTTAAAATGTTCTGTTCTACAAATAGTTTATCCAGTCAGGCGACTTCTTTTGTTCCGGTTTAATGCTCACGTTATTTTTCATGCGATCTTGTACAAGTTCAATATCCTGATAGCTTTTAGCCGTATCATAATGATTCTCTCCATATAATTTTAATCTGATTTGAAGAGCATGTTCGTAGGACTCTAAAGCTGACATGTAATCTTCCATCTCACATTGTGTATCTCCAATGTCATCATAACTTTCTGCAATGCCAGCATAATCTTCTCCGAATAATTTTAATTTGATTTCAAGAGCATGTCGATGTGACTCTAATGCTGATTTATAATCTTTCATCTCACATTGTGTGAGACCAAGGCTGCAAAAGCTGAAAGCAGTATCAGGGTGGTACTCTCCTTGCAGTTTTGATATAGTTTGTACAACATATTGATGTACTTCCAATGCTGCCTTGTAGTTTTTCATCGCACGGTGCGTGACCCCGATTTCACGATAACTTTCAATAGTGTCGGGATGATTCTCTCCATACAATTTTAATCTGATTTGAAGAGCATGTTGATCTGACTCTAATGCTGACATGTAATCTTGCATGTAATATTGTGTGCTTCCAATGCTGTAATAACTTTGAGCAGTGTCAGGGTGATTCTTTCCATACAATTTTAATCTGATTTCAAGAGCCTTTTGTTTCGCCTCTAATGCTGACTGGAAATCTTTCATCTCGTGTTGTGTGACTCCAATGTTGTAATAACTTTGAGCTGTGTCAGAATGATCGTCTCCGTACAATTGTAATCTGATTTGAAGAGCCTTTTTCTTCGCCTCTAACGCTGACTGGAAATCTTTCATCTCGTGTTGTGTGACGCCAATGTTGTAATAACTTTGAGCTGTGTCAGAATGATCGTCTCCGTACAATTTTAATCTGATTTGAAGAGCATGTTGATGTGACTCTAATGCTGACCTGTAATCTTTCATCTCATGCTGTGTGATTCCAATGCTGTAATAACTTTCAGCAGTGTCAGAATGATTGTTTCCAAAAATTTTTAATCTGATTTGAAGAGCATTTTGATGTGACTCTAATGCTGCCTTGTAATATTTCATTGCATTTTTTGTGACTGCAATACTGTGATAACTTTCACCAGTGCTTGGATGATTTTCTCCGAATAGTTTTAATCTAATTTGAAGAGCTTGTTCATATGACTGTAATGCTGACTTGTAATCCTTCATCTCTTGCTGTCTGACTCCAGTGCACTGATAGATTTTAGCTGTGTCGGGATGATCTCTCCCAAACGGTTTTAATGTTTTTCCAAAAGCATTTTGATATTTATCTAAAGCCGACTCGTAGTCTTTCACCTTATGTTGTGTGAATCCAATATTGTGATTGCATTGAGCATGATTTTCTCTGTGAATATTCAATCTTTCTTGAAGAGCTTTTTGTTTCGATTCCAAAGCTGAATCATGACTTTTAGTTTCCTTTCCTCTTTTATTCTAAGAATAAATATATCATGCTCGGTAAGTTATTGTCTGAAAATATTTCTTTAGCCCGGAAATACCATGCTACTTGAATCCTATAATTTCAGTCTGATAAGAATATACTTATAAACAGTGAGTCATGGTTTAATATTTACCGACCGCTATAATCTTTTGTGACATGAGGCTACAATTCTTGTATAGAAGACAGTTGACAGGACGGCGAGCAATAACCCCAAAATAATTACTAGAAAAGAATTCTGTTTTGTTGTGTTTGATCATTTGTCCAGTGTGTTTGAAAACATGCTTAGTCATGAAAAACGTCACTGCCTGACAAATTGACAAATTGACAACGAGGTAGTAAAATATATTTTGTAATAAGTAACCTCTTGAGAACGTAATTTGTATTCGTTTATCATTTTGTAACCTCATGTCAGTCATGAAAAAGTTGTAAAAAATATACAATAAATAATTTTAGAAACTTGTTGTACTTGCAAACATTCAAAGATTTATTTATACACAAAAACGTCGATGAGTTTCGAAAAGTTTACAAAGAATTAATCATCAGCGGTTGCAAAAACCTCTTTGCACCAAACAATATCACAAAATCCTGCACGAAAAAACATGCACCAGATAATTTCTATGCAATTGTAACAAAATACAGTAAAAAAAAGTCCACGAAATATCACGTGGCATTTTGTGTTTTGCTTTTGAATTATTTTGATAATTTCCTTTCAACATGTATAATTTTTGATAGTATGGTTTTTCCTATATTAAAAGCATTTCAAAAGTAATACTTATATAAGTATTCAATATAAAGTTTTTAAAATATTTAGTTTAAGGTGGCTCTATATAGTTATTAAAAAAATGGAAAACTCACGATTTAGATCCGTATTTTTGGACAATTAGTGCTTGTTGAAATATTGAAGTTTGTTACTGATGTAAAACAACATCTAAAGGGTGTGAATCTTTTCACAAAAGTTACACAACTGCCGTTGTTATGGCAAAAAGGCGTTTCAAGATGACGGATATTCTGGCTTTAAAGTGATTTAACTCGAGAACAGCATAGGTGACTTCAAAGTTTATTTCGTAACATGATTTCGCTTAGTATTGTCACTAATTCAAATAAATACGTTGAATCAAAATTTTTCAAATTACGTAAACGATTAATGTGCATGATTATAAATAATAATGTTTTTTGGGCTTAATTTAATACTTTATGTCCTTATGATGATTATAAACTCTTTCTCGCATTCGATCAAATGTAAAAATGCTATATTCCAGTGTTGTAACGAGTCACCTACAGGTCGAGTCACGAGTCGAGTCGAGTCACTCAAAGGTCGAGTCACGAGTCGAGTCGAGTCATTTCAGTTTTTGATCGAGTCGAGTCAGTGGCTTCACTCGAGTCGAGTCGAGTCAGCGGCTTCACTCGAGTCAAGTCGAGTCACTGATTTAAGTCGAGTCGAGTCAATTTCTAGACTTTACTTGAGCTACCCTAGCTTGCTGTCGGAAATTAGTAATCAAATTTGCGTTTTAAACTAATTACTTTAGTCATTTAAATTAATAACAGTATCTGGGCAGCTATAGGCTGTGCCAATATTATCACAGTTCCAGTCAACCACGTGAGATGTCTCATCATACCTGCTGATCGAGTGTACGTACATACAACTAGCAAAACTTGCAACTGGAGTCAGAATTAACAAAGAATAGACTTTAATTAACAACGCTTTGTAAGTTGATTTGAAATTATATAGCCCTTCATAAATACCAAAAATGAAAATAGCCTGTCAGAATTAGTATAAGTACAAAATATTTTGAGACTTAATTTTAAAAAACTGTGGCACTAGCGTTGTTTCTAAAAACAGAAATGTAATATAGGTATGCCCGTCAGGAATATATTCTATGCAAATCCCATATATTTTCTGATAAAGTTTCAAAGTTCTCATTGTTTACAGGGCTCATT